TATGTATAGTGCTTAAAACTGAATTTTTTACTTATTCACTTACCAAAACATACTTTGAATAGATGATTATTGCACTAATCTAAACATATTTATGGTTATTAATACTCACGTCCGTTTAAATGATCAACATGGCATATTAGTTTTTTCTTATATTTTAACTCTGCATTAGAATTCTTTATCCCACAGAGATTTATAGCTCACCAAGTATTTGTCATATTATTGTTTCAAATAAAAAAAAATAACAGGTTCAGCCATAGAAAGGTCATCAAGATTATCCTTCATCATACTGTTTTGGGTTTCATGATGTAAATCAAAGACAACTAATATGTGTTAATTATTTATGATGTTGATTTGAAATTACGTAGTTTATTTTAAGAATAATAATTGCATCTGCTTTCCTATGAATTTTTGTGTTGGATCTATTAGATGATTGTGAGAATGAGTTTTATGTTTTGTAAAATCTCATAAACAAGTTTTTTAACCACTTGACTATCTGGGTAAGAGTAATGTTAGTGGTAAATGTAACTAAGTGAGTTGCTCGAATCTGCCACATTTTCTGCTTGACTAAAAGGGGTCAAAATACTGCATTAAAAAACATCACAAAATAAGTTGCTAATTAAGATGGAAGAAGTAAAAGAAACAAATTATCATGTAGATATGATAATTGCCAATCCATTGTCAAACTTTGTGGAAATAGTTCACGACAACAACAGCAACACCTACAAATAAAGCCTTTATCAAACAAAGTGGAGTAGGCCATGTAAATCTTTTTGCTCCCTTTTGCCCTATTGAGTGTGTTATTTTCATTTAATTCTAACAAATTACGATCATTTTTTATACAGCATGCCCAGTCTTTTTAAATGTACCTCTACCTTCCTTAGCATGAGTCAAATCTAAAACATCTATTTTCCTAACAAGAACATCAGATGGTTGAAGTTTAATGCGATCAAACCATTTAAGGTGAGTCTCTCTAACATTGTCTGCCACTAGACCTACTCCAACCCTTTCACGGATAGATTCATTTTGTATTTTGCCTCCAAGTGTAAAGCCACTCATCCACCTAAGTATTCTGATCTCAGCAACACTTAACTAAATTTTATGCTTCTATTTTACAGGTCAACAATTTGCACTACAAATTATTGCATATCTCACCACCATCTTAAAAAATTTTCTTGTAAGTCTAAGCAGTATTTTTCTATCACACAATAGACCTGATATATTCCTCCACTTTAACAATCCAACTTGAATTCGACTAATAACTTACCCATTTTCCAAAAATAACATCCACATTTCTATCACCATCACTTTGAACAATAGACCCGAGATATCTAAAAAATTCACTCATTTTAATGACATGATCACCCATTGTAACAACCCAGTTGCTAGAATTAGAGTGCGTTTGGGGCAGCTTATTTGCCGCTTGTGCGTTTTCAAAACGCCGTGAAGGCGTTTGTTTCGAGCATTTTGGGTGAGTTTCAGAAAACGGCATTTTTAAAATGTATTAGACGCCGAACGTGAATACTACCCCGCGTCCCGCGTTTCTGTCTCTCGATCGCGATACTACCCTTGCTCCTCCGATTCATCCTTCTACCCCACTGTCGACATGAAGGACCTGGCGAATCTATTCCACGATTCTGACGCTGCCACTCCCACACTCCCGCCGCCATAGAAGAGATCTTTCTCTGCTCTCTCCTTCTCATCTCAACCACTGCAGCGACCGCCATGGCAAGCACCGAGAAGATGGGGCCGATGCCGACTCTTTGGAGGCTCGTGATGCCCTAAACATTGTGCGTGAAGCTGCGGGCGAGGGGGACGAGGAGTTTCTCATTGAGGGAGATTCCAAAGCTGAAATTACATTGGTTTGCAGGATTGTTGCTTTGTCAAGCCACCTGTAATGAAGGAAGGTTATTGAGTTTTTTTTGTTTTAATTAATGCTGCTTGTTAAATACTTGTTTTTTTTTCCCTTTTGATATATGAAGTTTGTGTCAGAGTAGTTGGAACTTGAAGAAAAAGTTGATTTTTTCCCCTTAGAAGAGGATTATATGAGCATTAGCTTTGCAAAATATTAATTAAAATATATATATATATAATTAAAAGCTAAACAACTTATCCAGAACATGGCATAATGGTCATTTATCTAGAATCAATTGTTTTCGAAACGCAAAAACCAAACATCTAGTCAGCTTATCAGGAGGAGTTGTTGATCAGCAGATTATCATGATAAGCTGCTTATCTGGATAAGTTGGATAAGCTGCAGCTGCCCCAAACAGACCCTTATTATTAATAAAATTATATTTCATGTATTCAATTTTAAATCTAATTGAACGAAAGCCTTTAAACTCAAAAGTTGACCTTGATAAGTCAAATTTTTCCTGAACTTTCTCTCTCTCATCTTATCCACAAGAATGATATCATCAGCGAAAAACATACAAAAAAGAACATCCTCCAAGAAATGGTCAGTAAGAACATCCATAACTAAAGTAAAAATATATGGGCTTCAAATCGCCTTTGTTGTAATCCAACCAAAATAGAAAGATACTTAGTCAATCCTCCTTGTGTTCGAACACAAGAAACAACTCTATTATGCATATCTTTAATGATTTGAAAATAAGAAATATTGACAACTTTCTTTTCTAGAATTCTCCAAAGTACATCTGTTGGAACTTTATCATAAGCTTTTTTAAGTCAACCAAAATTATATGTAGATCCTACTTATACTCTCTATACTTTTTCATCAAACCTCTCAATAAATGTATAGTTTCCATAGTAAACTTGCTTGAAATGTCCAACTAATTTTGAGAAATTTTTGTATTATAGCATTGTTTAAATTCAATTATTTTCTCCCATAATTTTAATATATGACACATTAAGTTAATTCCTTTATAATTCACATACTATTGTGTCTCCCCTTTATTTTTGAAAACCACTCATCAGACATACTTTTAATTTTTCAAATAATATTAAAAAAATTTTAAGCCAGGAAATTCTCAAATCTCTTAAACATTTCTACACTTCCTTTTGAATACCATCAGGCCCTATTATTTTTTCATAATTCATTTTCTTTAAAGCCTCCTCAACTTCTATTTTATTAATACGACGGTGAATATAACAAATTTTGTTATTATTTATGATATTAAGATCAATAAAATCAATCGTATTTTCACAATCTTTATTGAAAAATTTATTAAAATATCTAATCCATCTGTTAAATATTCACATCTAAAAAAAGTATTTTTTTTTTATCTTTAGTACACTTTATTTGAACTAAATCATTATTTTTCTTTTCTTTTTTATGGCTAGTTTATACATAGATCTTTCACCATCTTTAACGTCTAATCTATTATAAAAAATATCAAAAGCAAAATTCTAGCATCACAAATAATTCTCTTACTCCCTACAGACTACCTCATATTTTTATCAATTATCCAAGCTTTTATATTTCAATCGATTTTTTATAACAAAAATTATTACTTGTTATCTTTTTTTGCATATTATTATTCTCCCACTAACTATTTTTACTTACAAGAATTTTTTGTATTCATTAAGAACATCTTTTGCAATTTATTTAATAGTACTCATTATTTTATCTCATAGAATATTAGTTTCTTCATGATCATTCCAAACCCTAAAATTTTAAATTTTACTCATAAAAATAATTTTGTTATGTTTTTTAAGTGACTCCATCTAATTTTATGATAATATTTTATTATATTTTTTACTTTGTAATCATACATCTTAAAATCAAAAAATCAATAATCGATGATAGCTATTTTAACTTTGAATAATCTTACAGTCCTTACAATCTAGACAATCTAAGTTTCTCATAAGAAAATAATCAATTTATATTTTATTAAGTCATACTTAAAATTAATAATATGTTCATCTCTTCTCTTAGATAAAATATCATCGATAACAAACTCATAAGCTAAAGCAAAATTCAATATAGCTCTGATTTCTTTATTAGTCACTCCAAAATCATAGTCACCATGATGATTTCTAAAATCGTCTGCCATTTTACCAACATGTCTATTTAAATCTCCTCGTACAAAAATTATTTCTTCAAGAGGTATCATTTTTATTAATTCACTAAATCATTTATATATATATATATATACCTAGTTCAGGAGCATAAACACTTTTAATATTAAAAACCATAGAATCAACAACAATCTTTAGAGTTATCACATTATTTCTAATTCAACTAATTACAACATTATTTTTCGAACTCTTCTACATAATTGCATGTACATCATTTCTAGTACGACTCTTATCTCAATATAAATGTATAAAATATAAATTATCAATCCCCGTAATATTTTTCCAACTCATTTAATTTCTTAAATGAAGAAGATATTTATTTTCCTATAAATCATAATATCTACTAATTTCATTAATTTACATGAGAGTACTTATATTCCAAGTTTTTTTCCTAATATTATTTTCATAGACTAACTTTTTTTGTCTACATCCGTTCATAATGTGGGAACTATTGCTTATTTAACACTTGTCACTGTATTCAGGTCATACAATGCATCACTTCCAGATGACGCCCTAGAATTGACACAATGATTTAAAATATTAATATAATAACTTTTCGATAAAATTTTTATGCTAATTGCCAACTACCTAACGTAACCCTCCACATTTCGCATCCGGAGCTTTAGAGCCGATAAAATACTTTACAAAAGTCAATATTTAGTGGGAGAAAATATTTTAATTAGATATATGATCTTGTCATTTGTTTGCACCCATAGCTTACATAGAAGCAGAAAATAAAGGCAATGATGTTACACTTCTGTTCTTGATAGAAAGAGAAAAGAAATAAAGATTTAAGATCCCAATCACAAACACAAACAATAAGCATTCAACGAATTACAAACTGTATACAGTGCATATGTTATAGAGTGAAAATGGGGATAAAATAATACCATTGAAGGCAACAATATTATCATGAACACAACTTCGCATGTGGCTAAAGTATTATGGATAATAAGTCTTACCTTCTTGCAGATCCTTACTGTCATTACACTTGTTTCTCTTATGACAGAAATTCTAAGCTTTAAAGGATAAACATCAACGGATTCATCCTCAAGGAAGACTAGGTTTCCACTGTTTGCAGCTCTGTGCCTGCAGAAAAAGGAAGCATTTAATCCAAAACTTAAGCAGAGTGATTATTAAAATGTTTAGTTACTCAAAGGAACTTCTCAATCTGATAGATTGAACAACAGACATTAAATTCACGGAGAAAAAAATGAAATATTTAACTGACAGTTAAGCTATCTGAAACTTCCCACTATGTAATAAGATTCAAATTTGCAAAAAGCACAAGCAAGAAATCACAGGCAAATGTTAGTTAAAAAAATGGAAAATTATATCAAACCATGAACTTCAAAAGCTATACTCCCTGCTGTCCTGCTGA